TAAGATGCCTAATCATTTCTTTCTGTGAATCTGAAACTTTACTGTTTGAAACAAACACATTTTGTTTTCCAAAATAAATATTACAAGCAAACTAAGGGATTAGCCATGGGAAGCCCCCTCAGTCCCATCCTGGCTGATATCTACATGCATTATTATGAATCAAAATTGTTTGAAACTTTAAACTTCCCGGCATGGTTCCGCTATGTAGACGATACTTTTACCCTGTTTGAAGGTAATAAAGATGATTTAAATAGAGTTCTCTCAACAATGAATTCTATTGATCCTGCTATTCAGTTCACTTTTCACGTAACACATCCAACTTCAGTACTACAGTTTACCGTAAACCTTCATCGGTTTGCCTTCCACCACACTTTAAATCATGTCATCCGACTAAACAAAAGTTAGCTTCATTTTATTCCTATGTTTTCCGTGCTCTTCAAGTTTGCTCCTCCAAACTAGCCCTTGATGAAGAACTAAATTATTTAAAAGCAATAGCTATTGACAGGGGCTTTTCACCCAACATTATTAATCAAGCAGATAAAAAAATTCTCATCTAACACACTAAAAGCCACACTCTTATTTTAGGAGATTATAAAAATTCTGTTGTCATTCCCTTCTTTCCATCAATTAGCTATAAAGTTGCACATATTTGCAGAAATTTAACTTTCGGGTTGTTTAATCTCCATCAATAAAATTCCAACTTCTATACTCAAGGACCCCATTCCGGATATGAATTCCTGGGGTATTTATAGGATTCCTTGCCAGTGCGGTTTAATTTACATTGGCCAAACTAAGAGAGCCTTTAAAATTCGCCGTCAAAGAACATGAGGCATATGTTAGAAAAAAGGAAACACAGAAGTCTTCTGTGCTCAACATTGTTGGTCCGAAAATCACACTTTCAATTTTCTGCTGCCAAAATTATTCAAAAAACATCTTCCATTGGAGAACTGGATTTTCTAGAGGCATTTCACATTCATAAAAAATCTTTCTGTTCTAGTTAACGATCCTAATTCCAATCCAAATTTGCCTTTGGCTTTTAGAGAAATTATGTTTTAGTTCTGGTTTCGCCAACAGATGGCGCCACTTGCTTATTCTTGTCCAGGCTTTCTTATCTTATCTAAACATTATTTCCTATCTTGTTCATTTGCGGTTTTGCAGCTGAAGATGATGGTTCGGTAAAACCATCGAAACTAGTCCTGTGAAAATTTTATAAATTAACGCTGATTTTTGTTGTTTGACTTCTGAATTAGTAAAAAAAAACAAATAAATATTGAGCTTTTTTTTTTTTTTTTTGTAAATTTTGATACCCTTTGTTCTTTTTTTCATAAATTACTATTTCATATTTTTAATTGTATAATTTTTGCATGCCATCTTACCAGATTTAAACTGATGATCTATTACACGGAAAAATCCCAAATCTGTAATCGCCGAAGTCCTGATGAGTACGGATTTTGGACTTTGTACTGTATAATATTTACAAGTACAAAAGACAAATGTAATAAATTTCCCAAAAGCCACAAATGCATATCTACATACTAAAAGTGGTGAAATATCTTTCAAATAGCAAGAAATGTCAGATTCCAATCATTCAGTGTCAGTCTTATTTCAAAATGAGCCGTGCTCCTGTAATAAATTAATGAATGCATGACTTTTAATATATCCATTTTACATAAACAATTTTGCAATGTTATTTTTTTTTTTTCTATTTACTTGCAAACAGCTTAAAAATTTTATGTTGAAACAACTGCCTATCTTTTTCATAAATATATTTGACAATACCAATAATCTTCAAGAATACTGAAATTCTCTTCAGTAGCATTGTTAATAAAACCTAGAACGTTGCAACATTTTATTATTTTTGAAGAGTCACCTGCACTTGGATTCATTACACAAGAAAGTGGTTTGCTAATTTTGATGACCATGGAGATTCATAAAATATACTGTCATTTTAGAGAATCAATACATTTTTTTTTATTTCAATTTAATCATCTATTGTGTGTCACACCTGCCATGTTCTCAAAGGTCATTGTTGGAAAAGCATTAAAAATATACTATATTGTTAAAATTTTAAGCCTTAACTCTTCTTTTAGTCTCATTATTTTAGATGACAATCGAATAACAAAAATAAAAACATTACATAATTAATTATTTAAAATGCATATTTTGGTGGCCCATGAAATCAAAATATTTTAGGGGTTGGAAACATAATGGTTCTGCATGCTTAACGCTACATTAACAACTAATTATCATTCACCTTCTCCCGCCGTATTTTCTTTCGCAAACCAGCATGTCACCGAAAACTTCCTTAATTTTACAAAACTATTTCTATTTATTCATTGTTAAAAATTCATAAAAAATAACGCGAAAATCTGAAAAAATAATAATAAATAAGTAGAGAATAATTCAAGTCTGCATATGCGAACAGCGAGGGTGTTAATTTAACAAAATCAATGTAAGAGGAATATACATATCTGAAACATTTGCATGAAACCATGAGAAAGAAAAAAGGCGGGAAGTGCAGAATCACCCACTGCTTGGCATGTTTTTAAGAATTGCACAAACTTGGTAGCCATGTACACACTGACCTATTTTCACTTAAAAAATATATCAGAGAATTGCATTGCGCACTTCAATGACTTTGTCCATGCACACATTGATCTCTTTTCACTTAAAAAGTCAAAAGAAATTGACAGAAATCAAAGCAAATGTGATGCGGAGAAAACGATGTAAGCAAATGACTACTTACTTCTTACTCTTGTAAAAAGCAGGCAATTCTGCACTTCACTGGAAAAAAGATAGTTATATATTGACACAATGGCCCTAGCACATTTTTTTTTTTTTTTAATTTTTTACAGATGAAAAGTTAAAGTTACTTATCATGTGCAAGTTGGTGGTTTTCACACCTTTATTTCAGAAAGATTAACCTAGTTTGCCGATATTGGAACTACTCTGATATGCGCCCTCAAGGCGCCAAAAACTCCATGCTGCCATATCGCTATCTAAATTTTTTTGTCTACATTTCAAACTTTAAGCCTAAAATGTTTCCAAAAACACGGTTTTCGCGTCTGCAAAAACCACGTTTCGAACACACAATTTAAGCTAAAAATCCGAAACAAAAACAAAAAATTTAGATATCAAAACCGTGAAGTTTCTAACCAAAATTATTTAACAAGAGTCCATGTACACAGCGATATGTTTTAACTTAAAAAAACATCTACGAATAGCACCATCTAGGCAACGAACGAATTCACGAACTACGCACACCTCACTTTAATAAATTAACATAACAACAATAAATTTCAAAGAATACCATGTACACAGCGTTCTGTTTCAACTTTAAAAAACATCTATGAAATGCACAATTTAGACGGTACGCACTAATCAACAAAATAACTAAAATAAATTTCAAAAAACAACAATAACGACAGAAATTCATACTAAAAAAACAATGAACATAACATTCTACAAAATAAGAACAAGAATAAAATAAAATGCACTTACCATTAATGCTTTTTCGAACTGCGGAAATACCAATTTCATACCGCTTTTAACATGCCGCCACGTAATCACTATCGTATTTATATGACAGCCAGACACATATCCAGAAAATTCATACTATGGTTCACAAATAAATAAAATAACAAATCACAAATCCCTACTTCTATCACGCACAGCCACTAAAAATAATCTCCCATACCTTCTTTCCACACCTCCAAATACCCACTGCCCCTCAACAGGATGGCCACGATGATATTTCCTTATGCCGAACTTCAATTCAACAACTTTCACCATTAAATCTTTCCCTCCCCCTAGCTTCTCAGACACAAAGCATGACGGGAACCAATGAACTCCAGCGAAAGATTTTTCAACGTCAACAGGTTTGCCATACAACACGCAATCGCGCCAAAAACCAGTGCAGAACACATATCGCCACATTTGGTGAAATTAGGGCGTATATCAGAGTTGTACCCCGATATTTAATGCAAACATTATAAATATATGAAATGAAAATCTACTTGAAAATACAAATTTGAATTGTTAAATAAGGATTAAGCGATGCACTAAAAAAGTAAAACACATTCTTCTTGAAATCTTTCTGTAATTATTTTGTACTTTTCTCCTCCCCAACTACACAACTCATGGAAAATTTTCAGAAAAATTCTGTGTTCTTGCAGAAATTTTACAGCATTATTTTCCATTGATCACAAATTATGCAAGGCCATATTTTAAAACTAAGTTTAAGGAAAGAAATATAACAATTTCTTCACAAAAAATTGTTGGATTTTGGAATACAAGAAAAAAGAACATACATAAAAGGGCAGAATTCCTTGATTGAAGCATTATTATAAGCATGATTGTTGGAAGAATGGTTATGCACATTGTTGCCAAAGTTTGGCATATACTGAAAATATGGCAACTTACATTTAAAAGGCTGCATTAACTTGCAAGCACTGAAATATATATATATATATACCTTCAAGAAATTTTGATTATTTGCAAAGATCTAAATTCTAAACATTCTCAACATTAAAAAAAAAAAAAAAAAAAAAAAAAAAAAAAAAAAGAGTTCCAAAGGCTAATGAGGAAGAGAGAAATACTTTAATCTTACAGTACTGGAGGTATCACAAAACAATTTATTTCACGTGTTTGTACTTTTAAAAATATGCAGTAAAAAGTGGATTACAGCAGAAACTGTGAATGATATTTCCACTGAGAATGAAAATGTTACATGTTTCCAACAATTCACATGATATTACATTAATGGGATGAATGTGATACCCATAAAAATTTCATGATCTAGAATAATGTTATCAGTGTCTAACTTTTCACTGCTCGAATATGTCATTTTAAACCTGTCATTATGAACTACTAAGGATAAGAAAAAGTTGCTATAAATGAGCAATACTTTAAAATGACTGGGGAGTTATCTCGTAAACGTAAGGATTTTTTGTATGGAAACAATTGAATGTATTACGAATTGAAATCAAATAACAAGTTAAAACACATCAAAGACATTCCTTTATACCACGGACAAGTCATTACTGCACAGATAAATAAAGGTTTTTATATAGCATTTCCACAAAAGACACTAGTCTTCTATTATGTGTAGACATATGTGTCTCAATTTTTTGATCATCTAATTGATATGTTATACATGTACTCATGAAATTCCTCTTGGGTATGAATTAGTATATTCTTTTCAAGACTACATTTTTGAGTAAATTACTTATTACATATCTCACACACATGAAGTTTCTCTCGTGTGTGATTAAGCAGACGTTTGTTTAAATGATCTTTTTGAGTATATGACTTGTTACATACCTCACACATGAGGTTTTTCTCCAATGTGAATAAGTATATGCTTTTTTAAATTAGATTTTTGACCAAAGGACTTATTACATACCTCACACACATGAGGTTTCTCTCCAGTGTGAATAAGTATATGGTTTCTTAAACTACTTCTGTAAGTAAATGACTTACTACATATCTCACACACATAATGTTTTTCTCCTGTGTGAATAAGTATATGGTCGTTTAAATGAACTTTTTGAGTAAATGACCTATTACATACCTCACACACATGAGGTTTCTCTCCTGTATGAATACGTATATGGTTGCTTAAACTATGTCTGGAAGCAAATGACATACTACATATCTCACACACATAGGGTTTTTCTCCTGTGTGAATAAACATATGGTTCCTTAAAGTACGTCTGTAAGCAAATGACTTACCACATACCTCACACACATGATGTTTCTCTCCTGTGTGAAGAATTTTATGTTCGTTTAAATGACCTTTTCGAGTAAATGACTTGTTACATACCTTACACACATGAGGTTTCTCTCCGGTGTGAATAAGTATATGCTCATTTAATTTACTTCTTTCAGTAAATGCCTTCTTACACACCTCACAAACATGAGGTTTCTCTCTTGTGTGAATAAGCAGATGGTTGTTTAAATGATCTTGAGTAAATGACTTCTTACATACATCAAATGCATGAGGTTTCTTTCCGATGTGAGTAAGTATATGTCTGTTTAAATGAGATTTTCGAGTAAATAATTTTTTACATACTTCACACACATGAGGTTTCTCTCCTGTGTGAATAAGTATATGTTTGTTTAAACAACGCTTTCGAAGAAATGACTTGTTACATACTTCACACACATGAGGCGTCTTGCCAGTGTGAATAAGTGCATGTTCATTTAAATCACGTTTATAAGCAAAGGACTTGTTACAGAAGTCACACACATGAGGTTTCTCTCCTGTGTGAATAAGTTTATGTTCGTTTAGATGACCTTTTCGAGTAAATTTCTTGTTACATACCTCACACGCATGAGGTTTCTCTCCTGTGTGAAGAAGCATATGCCTGTTCAAAGTATATTTGTAACAAAATGACTTATTACATATCTCACACGCATAAGGTTTCATTCCTGCATGAATAAACATATTCATCATTAAGGTGCTCTTTTGTCCAAATGAATTCTTACATACCTTACACATGTGATTTTTTCTCCTGGTATATGCAGGAGAAATGCGGATGCTTGTCTAACTATATGAATGACTTGCTACATACCTCATACATGAGGTTTCTTTCCTGTGTCAATATGTATATTATTTAAATAAGTCTTTAATTTAATGACTTGTTACACACGGCATACACAAGGCTTCTCTTTTATCTGAATAGGCATATAGATTTAGAAACTCGAGTTATCAGCACATGATTAATTACTTATCTCACATTACGATTATATAAACCTACATTTAGAAGGAAATGCAAGTTTAATTGAGGCTTCTGTCTAAATGACTTTTACCTAGCTCACACACGTGAGATTTTTCTGTTGAGTAAGTAGGCATGAGCTCTTTTAAGAAGCTTCTTTCTCCGCATCACATTTTCCAATATACATTGCACCGAAATAAATTGGAAAAACTGAGAGGGTCACTTTGGAAATATAATTAAGAATTTATCGCTGATTCATGGTATTCTAGTAAATGTTACGATTTCTAGACTAAACCTGGAATGCTCAGAGTTAAGCAAAGTAGTTGGTGCATGGACAGGTGATACGAAACACTAATACATATTTAACAGAAAACATATCTAGTGCAATATACACAGGGCATTATTTTCAGGAACACATTTTGTAAATAATAAGTTTGTTATATTTTGCACTAAACATGATTTTTTACCCTAGCACTCATAAACTGAATTTGTTCATTAATTGCTCCAAATTACATATAACAGAAATAATACAATTCTGAAACTCCAATGCTACAAGGACAAAAAGACAAAGTAGACAGATGTCTTTTGTTGCACGCACTAAGTCTTTCTGCCCCGATAGGCGAAAAATCAAGCATAGGTGCGAAGGAAAAGTATCCGCGATTCAATTCACCTATAGATGGCGCTCGCACACATTAGTATCAAAGAATCTATACAGAGAAGAAGTCAAGCTTCGACTGCACAACAACGCCACGGAGAAAAACTGAGTATAAAATGTGTCTTTTTTAACAACTTTACAGGCGTAAATTCAGGTTCTCTGAAATTCATTCACGCATGCGCGCTAGAGCCAGAGAGTTTGTCAACAACATCGTAGAAGTCGTCATAGCGCGCCATATTGAACGCTAAGCACGAGGATTTCAGCAATTTTGAACATTTGGAAATGGAAAAAAATAATGAATCACGCTCTAGTGATCCTGCGTGTGAAAGGTACGTAAAAATATTTAATTCTTATACCTTTTCATAGTAGAATTATTTTTTAATTACCAGAGTTATGTTCAAATCCATTCCATAACATGGGATGGTAATCAAATATCATGTAATGAACGATTATTAATTAAGTTGGCATTAAAAAAGTTAAAAGTTTCATTGGAACATTTTATTGAAAAATTATAATTCCTACTGTTAAAGAAATCAGAAGTATTTCGAAAAATCTCTATCAAAGCTTCTTACGCAAAATTAGTATATTTGTATATAATTGCGAGGATAAAATCAAGCAATCATGGATGATTTACTATGATTGCTAATGAAAATTATTTCAGTTCTTCATATCCGATCTTTCCTGCAGTTATATGTAATGTATATTGCAACTTCTTCTATTTTCGTTTAAACCAGGTATCAATTTTTTAGTTCATGATATTTTCTAATTCTATACATTGAGCATTATTTATAATCAAAGAATCTTTATAATAAACTATTCACAGATATCATTTTTTTGCTACTAAGAACTGCAATATTATCCCAATTTTTAATTATTTTTTAAATTAATTTTTTAATAATTTTTCCAGTTTTAAAAAATAAAATTATTAAAGTAAATTAGCTGCATAATTCTGGTGTCATGATATTCATTGGCTCTTTTTTATTTTATTTCAACCTTGCAACTTAAATGTATTCTGTAAATTAATTATTAAATATCCATATTTTATTTTTATATTCAATTTTTATATATTCTGTACTGATGTGATTTAAATCTTTATAATAATAATTCATTTAGGTTAAATGATCCTTCACCAAAGGCTTATGTGCGTTGTGTGGTGTGTAATGCCAATTCTTGGTATTTTCCTGAAAGAAAATTCTTTCGGTTTCCTAAAAATCCAGAGAGGTAAAAATTTAATTTTTATTTTAAGTTATAAGTATTTAAAATGCATGAAAATAAGTACAGTATGACAGATGAAGAAATTTTTTTAACTTTCTGTTATTTAAAAAAATTATTCCTTTTCAAATGAAAACGTTATATTCATTAACATACTTTGTGTGATATTCAATGTTGCCTTATCTGTTTAGCCTAATTATATATACAATAGTAATAAAATATTTATGTAAATATTACAAAATCGTAGAAGCATTAGTTGAATATATGCATCAGCTAAAATGAATTTTTTCATAAGCAGAATGCTTAAAAATTTAACATTAGTTTGAGTAAAATGCATAAATATTAATTTTTTTTGTACATAAATTAGTACTTAAATGTTATCTACATGTCAAATTTCTGGAAAAACTAAAATATGTATTTGTTTTGCACAGTAATAATAAGTTACATTTTAAATGAATGCTTAAAACTAGTGTTCCCTGTGTAAAGTAGGTGTAAATTTCATGTTGTTTTAACTTTTATAGATCAGCACAATGGCTTGAAGCATGTAGAATTTACTTGATTGGACGTGACAAGGAAATATTAAAGAAGCCACCTTCTCTTTTATATCGAAGTCGTCTTTGTTCCGCACATTTTGAAGACAATGCATATTCCACAACTAAGAAGCATTTTTTGCATTCGAGTGCTAAACCAACAAAATTTGGTGAAACAGGTATGCATTAATTTCAAGTTTATATATTTCAAAAATTTTTAAAAATTTAACCTCTTATATATTGTACTGATCAACAACTTACTATGTTATCTTAGAAAGAGAGTAGTCTGCTGTCTTTAAAAAAGAGTGATAAATCTTTTTCTGAAGGATAATTTAGTTTAATCTCCCACAGAAATTTCATTTGTTTACATAAATAATATAACTTATTTATTATGAAAGGACTCTTCTGCTGTTTCTTACATAGTCAATTTTGGTATGAGAGAATGTAAAGTAACCCTTTTTTAAAATCCATTAAATTTTCCTTAGTAAATCCTTTATGGATATAGCAGAATGTTCTTAGAATATGATGTAGCAGAATATATTTACGCAAAGTATAATTTTAGGCTTTGAATCAGATTTACAAACTCAGGATAAATGAAATTAACGATAATTAAAAATAAAATTAAAACTTCGACTAATCTTTGGAATATGGCAACAGGTAGTTTGGCGACATTTTGGTAAGACGATAAAGTTTACTAGCTAGGACTTTAGCAGTGTACATGGATAAAGTCAAGAGTGTGCGCAATGCCATTTTTGTGCAATTCTGAGATGTTTTTTTTAAGTGAAAATAGATCGACGTGTACATGGATGATACCGTGTATGTGCAATTCTTAACGCTGCAAGCAGTGGGCGATTCTGCACTTTCTCCCAATTTCGCACCTAATCTTCGTGATGATTAAGCACTTTTGTTCCATAAAAGTTCTAGCATAAGCGTAATTCGGCTAGCAAATTGTTGGAAAAAAATGTTGAGTAGTAAAAAAAAAAAAAAAAAAAAAAAAAAAAACATGCCTTTACTTTGTCAAAACAAAATGGCGTCCAAAAAAAAAAAAAAAAAAACAACTAGCAGGGTTGGTCGCCAAAAAATCGCCAAGTTACCATAATCCGAAGATTAACCAAAACTTCTTTTCTTAAAACTAAATGTCAAACCGTGTTAAAGGTTAGTTAAATATTTATTTGTTTAGAGATGAAATATTCATAAAATAATTAATTGATAATGATTATATTATGAATTATTATGCATTAGTCTTGTTATATATATATAAATTTTCTTTTTCCTTCCTAGCTGATGAGCTGTCCAGAAACGACAGAGTTGTAAATGTTCATCAGCTGTCTATGAAGTTGTGCTCGAAATTGCAGCAGCATGCAATCAGTATCGATGATAATTCAAGTCCTTTGGCAGAAACAGATTCTGGCACTTCACAAACAGATTCTGGCTCTCTAGAACTTGGTTCACACCAGCACTCCATAGAACTAAATAATATCACCGAGACACCAAAAAGATTAAAATGCAACAAAAATTTAACACCAAAATCTTTAAAAATAAGGCAGTTAAGTCATAAGCTGGCATATTTAAAACGAAAACATTCAGCAAAAAGGAAAGCAAACAAAGCTGGAGTCGAAAAGGCACTCCAGCTGATTAGCTCATTAGTTAGTTCTGTAGTTTTCACTTTTATAAAATCACAAATAAAAGCATCAAATGTGTCAAAATACGGACGAAGATGGTCACTGATGGATAAAAATTTGTGCCTTCAGATCTATCTTAGTAGTCCAAAATCATATAATACACTGAAGGCTTTTTTGCATTTGCCCAGCAAGCCTACATTATTGAAAGCTGTATCTGGTATAAAAATGGAACCTGGATTTTCAGTTGCTGTGCTCAATGCCATAAAATTAGTTGCTAGCAAACTGAAAATCCATGACAGGTATTGCATCTTATCCTTCGATGAAATCACTTTAAAGCAAAGCTTATCTTATGATAAGAAAAGTGATTACATTGTTGGATTTGAAAATTATGGTTCCTACACTGAACTAAAAATGTTTCCCGAATATGCAACTCATGGTCTTGTTTTTATGGTCCGTGGGCTGTGTAAAAAGTGGAAACAGGTCATTGGCTATTTTTTTTCTTCTCACACTACTCCAGGTTTTATGTTGTGTACTTTGGTCATGGAAGCCCTATCAAAATTATTTGATTGTGGTTTGATACCTGTGGCTGTTGTTTGTGATGGTGGTGCAAACAATGTAGTTTGTTACAAAAAATTTATGAAAGTCACAGAAGAAAGACCATATATTATATGTCAAGACAAAAAGGTATTCACACTTTTTGATGTGCCTCACCTTTTGAAGTGCTTGCGAAATAATTTTAGAAAGTATGATGTTAAATTTCAGGGTGGCAAAATTGCTAGTTGGAACCACATTGTATCTTTGTGGGAATTTGATCGTAAAATGCCTCACAGATGTGTTCCGAAATTAACAGACCGCCATGTAAATGTGGATTGCCTTAGTGCTATGAGTGTAAAATTAGCAGCTCAGGTCTTCAGTCATTCTGTGGCTTCAGGCCTGTGTTACCTTAGTGCACTAAATGGCTTACCCGCATCGGCTAGTCTTACAGCAGATTTCTGTTCAAACATAAATATTTTATTTGACAGTTTGAACAGTAGAACACTTAAGCACTCTAATCCTTTTCTTGCAGGAGTTACCAAGTCATCGATTCACTTAAAAACCTGGAAGGAAAAGATGGATTTCATCAAAGGCATTGAATTTCAAACAGAAAAAAAAAAAAAAAAATCTTTCCCAAGTATATTTGGCTGGAAATTAACACTATCAGCAGTTCAGCAGTTAATTCCAGTTCTGTTGGAAGATGTACCATTTGTATTAATGTGTCGTTTCACCCAAGATGCCTTGGAAAATTTTTTCTCTGTTGTTAGACGCAGAGGTGGAAATAATGACCATCCAACTGCATATGATTTTCAACAGAGGATGAGAATACTAATGGCACAGAATATCATAAGCACAAGTAAGCTATCAAACTGTGAACCTGATAACGATACAGTTTTGATACCTACAGAGTTGCTGACAGTTATCGATAACACTGAGCCTGGAAATGGCAGTGATGTAAATGATATGGAAATTGACTTTGATGATCCCTTATTGGTAGCAAATGAAAATTCTGATACTAGTGCTTGT